CTGGGTTACTCATAAACAGCACAAGAAAAGCATGGAGCAGACAGAGATCAGCGATGGCTGGCCTGCTGTGGGAACAGGCAGTGGTTTGTAAAGGTAACATCACAAGTTCCAGCAAAGGGAAGACTGTGTGAAAAAAAGAAGCCTTTTTTCCCTCCTAAGAAGGGAAAACTGCAGGAACAACTGAGAAAGAAACAGAGGAATGTATGGTAAGGACAGGAGACAGAAGCAAGGAGAAAAATACCCCAATCACACAGGGAATGGAATTAAATTTAAACTCTCCCCTTTCATTATAGGTGAAGCATATGTACGATAGAATAACGATGCCTCTAGTTTAGCAAAGAGCCTACAAAGCCTACACACAGACGTTTTAAACACTCTAGATGGGGTTTCTCCTCTCTTCCGTAGTAGTTAAAGCTGCAGATTTCCCTGACGCTGTTTGTGGGCTACTTCCACTCTGGTCATGCACCCAACCCGCCAACATTAACGTTCCCCAGGCAGAAAAACGAATGTCACCTGAAAAAATGTCAGCTCCCTGAAAAAAAAAAATCTTTCTCCAAAAATCTCTCTCCAAGCTGCTAGAAGCTTCTAGCAGTGGTTTTACTCGTGTGCTCATGGAACAGCCAATGCCCTTCCCAAGCCTCTGCACTTTAGCTGCCACCAGAGCCTTCACTAACCTCAGCTCCTGCATCATCTCTTGTTCTCTCCCCCTCCCTTTCTCCACCTCTCCTTCCCCCAAGCACATAGTGGAGCAAAAGTCTTCCCCAGCGCGCCATCCAAGTACTTCTTCACAAATGCCAGCACGAATTATTTTAAAGGCAGGATGCAGGAACACACAAATCACTTTCCATTTCCACAGCAACTTTAATTCTGATCTTCTTTTGTTTTAAAATGAACACACCCACTAATCTCAATGTTTTAACTATTATGCACCTCCTAAAAACTTTGCTAATCCTCAAGCAACAAAAATCCTACAATTGATCAACGTGCAGAACTAGAGGACATTCCAATCTGCAACTGAGAAACTCCATTTAAACATCCGTTTCATTTGTATCAATCACATTAATTAATTACTAAAAATACATAAAGGGCATGTCAAGGACTTGAGATTTTTATTAGTGTAAATAGTGCATTCCTGCTTATCTATTGTAATATTTGTAAATTTCCTGAATCAACTTTAAAATACATGACCAGAAAGAGTGAAAAGTGTATTTTCCACTGTTAGGGGAGACTGCTAGTGATAAAGCTATCCCTTTCTTAAGGAAAAGCTTTTATTTATTAGTGTATTGCACATATTGGTTTTCTTCTCCTCCATCTGCCTTCCAGACTTTAAAAACTCCCTAGAAATTCTAAGCACGATTATGTTTTGTGAAGTATAGAAATGTCTTTGTGAAGTTCAGTATTCATTCAGTCTCAGGGGTGTTGTGAAGTTTAAATTAATTAACGTCTGGTAAGCAGTCTCAGATGCTCAGATGAAAGGATCTGTATGGGCCAAATTCTGATCTATCCAATGTAGTTCACATTGGAAATCTTCCCCAATATATTCTGCTGCAAAGGATACCAATGAATCACAATAATTTATTATTATACTACAAAATTAGCCCGCTTTACAAGGCAAACCAGGAATTTGCTAACTGCAAGCACTGCAAATCTACAGTGGGATTTGAAAGCCCCTTTGGTTGTCTTCTGCGTCCATTAATTAAGATGCTGCAATCAGAGCTTAGATGATAACTTGACGGTAACGTGTGAACTGGAAAGGAATCAAGACCTGCTCTGGTAGTGAGGAGACCTATGCAGGAACAGCCTCAGACAAAAGTCCTCCTCAAAGGGATGGAAACAGATTTGGACAGATGCAGACCAGTTGAATCTCATATCTTGTACGTGAGATTTAGACAAACTCTCCCCTCATGCACCCTAACACAGAGATGCTTCCTCCAGCAAATTCAGTGGGCAATAACCACCTGAACCTGGGGAAAGAATATGCTCTGTAGGAGAAGTTTTATAGGATAATAAGATGCTGTTTCTCCATTCTCATTTTTCTGACCAAAACTGCGCTTTAGATCCTAACCTATCACATGGTAAAATCTCAACAATTCCATTAAAATACCAGGCTCAGAAATGAGTAAGCATAAACTAGCAGTCGAGGAGTTTCTACAACCTGACAGTGTGAGTGGGTGTGACTTAGCACGTAGGTTCTCTACAAGGTAGGGAAATACTATCGTCTCTACTTTATAGATGCGGAATTGATGTACGTTGTAAATGACTTCGCACAGGAAATTTGTGAGAGTAACAAATTCAACATGGGCCTCCTGTATCCTAAAATTAAAACTATCTTTAAGAGTATACTATGAGATTAATCTTCAGATTTCAACCGTGCTGTGCCTGAACACAGAAAAACGTTCTGGAGCCCAAAGCCAACATCCGTAGGCTATGCCGTGGCACCTCTTCTGCTCTCCTCCCTGGAAAGGGTCCTGGATGCTCCACAATTAGGAAGATAAAAAAAACAGAGGATGAAGCATTTTGCCAGATCCTCGGCTGGCTCAATGTTAGCTGAAACTGGATTAACCCATAGCAACACTGAGACTGATTACTTCAAGGTATCCTCTCTTCTCCCATATTAATATTAAGCAGAAAGGTGAGGTCTGTTAGGTCAATGGCAAATGTAGCTTATCTGAGGACTGGGGTGTATTGCTCAGTGATTCCAAAAACAAATTTTAAAATGAAAATGCAGAGGTTTACTTTTTAAAATCTGCTTTGGTATCATGCTCTTGGAAGAAGTGGTTCTTAGATGAAAGTTATTTGATGTAAGAGGGATATTTGGAACTAGGGAGAAGTGCAGGAGTAAACTCGCAAACTTCATAATTAGCTGATGAATCATTCAACCAGCACAGATCACAGCTAACTGTAACAGATAAGTTCCATTCCAACTATTTGCAACAGTACCCCCCAAAAAATTCACAAGATAACTTTAAGGAAAACAGATTATCAAACATAAAACAATACACTGCTATCTACTGTGAATATTATTTAATGCTGTAAACTTTAACTAGAAGTAATCACCTTGCTCTAAAATGTTAATTGCTAAAGATGAGATTACAATACTTTTCTATCAGCAATTCACAATTACGCTCAATTTTTTACAAGAGAAATTCTTTTCTGATTACAATGAGAGCTAAGAATTAAGCTAGATATTTTTGTCTTACGCATCTCCAGCAGTAATAAAGGCTGTGGGTGTCCAAGTATTTCCTAAATGACACCTGCACATCTTAGGATCTATTCAGTTTCTTCCCACTATGCCATATCTGCGTATCCCTTGTTAGCTATGATATTGCATGTTTTTTTAATCAACAGGCCTTAATCATGTTGGAAAGATGAATCAGTGTCAATATCCTCACATTATTCCTACTGGTTTCCTTGTATAAGACCTGTGAAACTCTTCAGAACGGAAATAAACCATTCTGATGATAATGAATAAAAAGAAATTCACCTCTCTCACCTACATTCATTTACACATCTATAAAGGATAAAAATTATGACAAACACAGCAGACAAAATTCTAAACACCTAATGGAACACAGCTGCTCAGTAAGGCGATGCCATTTCTCATAGCTACTTTCAGGATAGCACTGGACAATAATGGCAAGAGATAGCTCCCTAAATTTCTATGGAGGGTCAATAGGAAAAGCCATGAATTTAATATACAAATAAGAGATATCAGAGTCAACACGACAGCCTCAGTAAACTCTGAAGTAGGAAATTACTAACAAAAAGATTAAAATGAACCTATAATTTACATGCATACAATCAGCACTAAAATGCACAGAAGCAAAATGCTGATGCATCCTATATAGTTTCTTCTATCTTACCATTTGTTGATAAAAGTGAGTGGGCTGCATTCTGCTGTGGTAACCACTTGATCTTGTTTATTTTTTCCTCTATCTCCAAGCTCTTCAAATAATCAAATTCAGGTTCATGGCTCTGGAAAGTGCTGTAAACATTGTACTCCCCCTGACTGTAAGGCTCATTTTTACTCTGTGGAGAATAAGAACAACAAAAACATGTTTTATGATGGTAATATATTATCTCCAGCTCTTGGGTAAGATAAGCAGCATTATAAACATAAAAATATTGCAAGTATAATTTAATTTCTTGTTTAAAGCGAGATATTGACAGATTTGTTTTTACAGAAATGCAATTTCCTGGAAGTACTGAAGCAACATCTAATAACAGACAGAATTTTTTAAAAAATGTTGATTATTCAGTAAAGCTTTGTACAAAAGACACTGCAGATGGACTGAATCTAAGAGTGAAGCAGAAAAGGTGTCACAGCAGAGGCAGTTTTAATTGGAATGGTTCCAACAAACAGGCAAAAGCTATTAATAAAAATGTATAAATACAGCAAAAACAATCTTTTTTTTTTTCCTTAGCTTAGAATTTTGGAATTTGAAGCATTTTTGTTTGGGACAAGAAGAAGGGCAAACTTCTGAATAAAAGACTCTTACCCTCTTTCACTTCCTTTCCAAAGAGGTGACATTCAGTATTTATTAAATCTTGAGAATATAAACAAGTGCGTTGGTTAGATCCAAATAAAGCGTTAAAAAGAAAAACAGGCTTTAGCAAACTATTGGGACTACAACAGTAACTCACATACCTCAGGTTCCCTTTGGAATATAACAACCCGACCCCCCTTGTCACCAGTAGCCAGAAGTTCTCCAGTGTGGTTGAACTCAACTGTAGAAATAATATCAGCTGGAGGGAAGAAGTGAGAAAAAGGTAAATTTTAGACTGCTGCTATAACACAAAAGCCATCAGAAGTATCAAGCACTCCACAAAAATGCAGCAAATGAGGGATTCGGAGGAATACAAATGAATTCAGTAGCAAGTCACTTATGCACACAGGCTGCATGCCATCAGAATCCAAGGTTGCTACACAACGAAACAAGTGCAAACATAAAAGGCAGATTTGTGTTTCCAGCCCCTCCGTAGTTTGGGAGAGGAGGAGATCTCTGGAGAGGTTATGCTTCCGGAAGAGCAAGCTCAGCCCGCTACAAAGCTTTTTTCTGTACCGGAGATGGCAGACATCATAGGCCTCCCGCTATTCCCTCTAGCAAGGACCAACACAATGGTGCAGTTCTGCGGCATGTATTATTTATTCTTTACCCTTTATGAGGGTTGTTTTAATACAACCCTCAGCACTAGATTCCTCCTATAGGTGTTTGAGCCAAGAGTGCAAAAGGAAAGTACATGTGGCTTGTCCTGTCATAGAGGAACGAAGGCAAAACCAGAATTGCTCACTGTGTAATGCTGGCAAGAGCCCATTCAGATCACCGTTTTCAGCAAATCACTTCAGCACCATAAAAATGTGTCATCAGAAGATAAAAAGATCTCGGTCTCTTCCTTTTTAATTGTCAACAATTCCCTAAGCAATTGCATCAGCTTATACAAGAAACCTCATCAAAATCTCAGGCCAGTCCTGAGTACAAAACATTATGTATCAGAATGAGAGGGGAGAAAGAGACTGTTACGGCAAAAGAACTGGTTCTTCTGCTTGTAGGAAAATAAATGCTAGAATCATAATCCACAGTTAATCCTATACTATTAGCATAATTCAAATTAAAATGCCTAGTGCACTAGTAAATTAAGAAGCCATCATACATACAATCCCAGATAAACGCAGGGTATTACTCAGAGACTGCAGGTATGAACCCGCTCTAACGATCAGTATTCAGTGATCAGCAACGTGGGTCAGACTTTTAGACGTGTCAGTAGTTAGCAGCTCCCCTTTAGGCATTAAAAGATGTGGTTTTCACAGGTGTTCATCACCACTTTATGCTGAGAACAATGAGGCTATAGTGGTCTACGCTCTTTTGAAAACCTAGCCCCAAATGGGTTCACTGAAATTCAAAGGAATTGAAATAACAAGTGGATGTACCATTTATTCGATGCATTTTATGAATTGAAAACATCTGTTCCCATTATTCTTTTAACAAACTGGTAGTTGAGTGTCAGACAGCTTCTCCTGTCAGTAGCTCTCATCATCGACACCGCTATCCAAAAGTCAGAGACTCAGTGGAAGGACATCATTTAAAGAAGGAAAACCTTATCCTTCTAATGATGAAGAGAAATCTCTCTTAATTTTGTAAGAAATCTTCACTATTAAAGGCTGATTGCTTGCTTAAAAAAAAAAGAAAAAGAAAAAAAAGACACAGCTTTCATCGTTTTTCCCCATGTACTGCATACGTACAGGAGGAAGGGGGAATCATAAAGTGTATATATAATTTTCTTTTCCGCTATAAATACGAATAAAACGTACAGATGCATAGACTTTGAGGGAAACGAAACATGAGGATTTACGGTATTTTGGGACTGAACTCAAAGCTTCTCAAAGTTAATGGCATTTGATTTTTATGTGGAGTTCCACAAACTGCATATTTTATAGGCGATATCCTGAAAGCCCCTAGACTCATTAGAGCATAGTAAGAGTAGAGATACTCTGCCTATGGTGGGTGATGCTCAGTTAAGTGCGTTCTTTTTCTTGGGCTTGGGAGGGATGTTGGGTAATCTGAAAAGTGCATTTTTTTTCCATAGAAAGATAACTTTTCTGGCATGTAAAATTCATTTGTAATGAATGTGAATGGAAGAGTATTTACTGGTTATTTTGTTCTTGTCCTGCAAAAGTTCTACTGATGGTAGGTGTGGGCTCTTATTTATTACATGATACATGCATGATTTTACTCATTTAAAGCTGTATCTCACCCAACCGCACAGGCAGAACTCCAGAAGTCTCATCCTGGCTATGTTTTTAGAATGGAGTCTCTTATCTTAAGTGCACAGTCAAGCCCACATGGGGGAGAAGGGCAGACCCAAGGAGAAAGAGTGTAACATATATTAAGTGTGTGTGTGTGTCTGTCTGTCTGTCTGTCTGTGTGTCTGTCTGTCTGTCTATCTCTGTAATTTATATGCACTTTTCCCAATAGGTCAAAAAAAAAAAAGATAAAAAGAGTTGCATGTAAAGCAAAAGAATAGCATTAAAACTTCTCTTTTATATACGAATATACTTGCTAATGCCTTGCAATACTTCCACAGTTGCATGAAATATTCTCCAAGTGGTCACAAAATAGTATAATGCACTTTACAGAGGGCATGAGCAATGCCCAGTAAAGCCAACAGGAGTATTTTCACAGATCTCAATGGAAACCAGAACAGAATTTTAATAAAACCACTCTGCATTTTGTTATTAAAATTTGTCATTGCATTTGTCACTGAAATATCGTGTATAATTACTGTTTAAATGAAAGCAGTTAAAACGTAAGTATCCATGGGCAGTGTGTAATGATATGGTCCTGAAGTAAAATTCTCTCTCCCCAAAGTGTTTCTTCCAGACACATTTCTCCCTAGTATCAGAGAAAAACTAATTCTAACTATCATTTTTAAATTAACTTGTTCTGAAAAAGAGCAGAACCAATACTCCAGCCTCACGTGCTATGCCGCATGTTGGTAAAAAATTAGCCCTGAATTGGAAAATCACTTTTATTGATCCAGTAAGTAACAGCTGAAAAACAACAGCCAAAAAAATCTTATTCAACATATCT